CTGCAGGCGGCAGCTTACCGCTACAACACAGCACCGGCCCCTCCTAAGATATTGACGCATGGCCAAAGATTGGTAGAATTAGCTTCTTTTTTTTTTTTTTTTTTTTTTTTTTTTTTTTTTTTTTTTTTGACAGGCAGAGTGGACAGTGAGAGAGAGAGACAGAGAGAAAGGTCTTCCTTTGCCGTTGGTTCACCCTCCAATGGCCGCCGCGGCCAGCGTGCTGCAGCCAGCACACCACGCTGATCCGATGGCAGGAGCCAGGAGCCAGGTGCTTTTCCTGGTCTCCCATGGGGTGCAGGGCCCAAGCACCTGGGCCATCCTCCACTGCACTCCCTGGCCACAGCAGAGGGCTGGCCTGGAAGAGGGGCAACCGGGACAGAATCTGGCGCCCCAACCGGGACTAGAACCTGGTGTGCCGGCGCCGCTAGGCGGAGGATTAGCCTAGTGAGCCGCGGCGCCGGCTGGTAGAATTAGCTTTTAGCAAAAGGATCAAGCTTTAGTGTGGATAATGTAGCATTGATTGAGTGGAAATTATAGTATCCAGGTCAGCCAGCATTTCCTGAATGTGGCCTGGAAATATATTAAATGGATTAAAATGACTAGGATTTACTCTCTAAATACTGTGGGTAATTATTTTGATTATGGACCATGGTCCTGTGATTCTGTTATCTTTCTGCTCACATAGGTTGAGAGCACCACTGGATACCTATTTTCAGGTGAGCAGGAGCCAGCCTCACTTGTCAGCCATCTCTGATAATTCAGAGACTAGGAATCCTGTGTCTGAAGATTTGCATCTTTCAAGTGGTTCTGATTCTGACAGTGACAGCTCTGCAGAGAATGAAGAGGTGGTTGCCCAGGTAGAGGAACCTGGAGCTGTCATTTTAGAAGGTCAGTATTTCATCCAAGTTTGGATTCACAAGGCTAATATTCACAAAGGTTGGACTTCAGAATAGAAATTCTGTAGATTTGTGCTTTGATACTTTCCCTTTGCCCCCCAAATGTCATGGATTCCTGTTTGAATAGTACAGAGAGCTTTCACTGGCTGTAAGAGAAGATTTGATTTGACCCTCAATTTAGTGTTAATTTTGACCTAGTCAGTTATTTTATAATGGCATTTTATGTCCTTTTATTCCTTTATACATTTAAGAACTAGATTCTTTATTTAAAAGAAGAATTTTATAAATTCAGCACTCTGTCTAGATTACTACTTTCACATCCTAGTAATGCTATGTGTTGTAAAAGTGGAACTTTATTTACCAATAGGTAAGTGGGCAGAGAATCCTACAGTAGATGTTCTGCTTGCATTGAAAGCCCACTAGTACCCCAGATGGAGGTCTTTCATTACTTTTTCCCAGTAAAAGGTTATGAGGCATCTTGGAAAAACAACTTTCCACATACAGAATGAGCCTCCCACTTTTTATTATACTAGAAAACGAGAAGCCATCTAAAAATCATAGAATTAAGTCAGTAGGCATAGAAGCTACTTTGAAAGGGCTCTTTGTAGTCTAAAATGGAATAATTTGAACGAAAAAGACTGTTGAGTATGCTATTCTTGGATTATAGGCTTAAATGGATTGAAATGTGTCACATCTGTGAAAATCTATAAATTAGTAATTAGATGCTTAGCCCTATCATATGTTGCTGAACCCATCATTACTCAAAAAAAAAAAAATATTGTACGTTTATACTTTCTTTCCTATTAAAAAATATATCCAGGATAAGCAAATTGCTCATTGAAGAAGTTGGGGGATTTTTTTTTTTGTTTATTTTTTTAAAAGATCTATTTATGTACTTGAAAGACAGAATTACAGAGAGAGAGTGAGGAGAGACACAGAGATCTTCCATCTGCTAGTTCACTTTCCAAATGGCCACAACATCCAAGACGGAGCCAGGGTGAAGGGATCCAGGAGCTTCCCCTGGATCTCCTCTGTGGGTGCAGGAGCCCTATCCTCTGCTGCTTTCCCAGGCGTATTAGCTAGGAGCTGGACTGGAAGTTGAGCAGCAGGGACTCGAACAAACACCCATATGCTGGTGCCACAGGCTGGGGCTTTAACCCACTGAGCCATAGTGCCAGCCCCTGAAGAAGTTTTTTATAAATATAAAAATCCCAGCTAACAGTTACAGTATGAATGATATCACTCCTCATGAAATGATGCAAAGATGATCAATGGATCCTAAAGCCATTTGGTTGAAAAGTTGATGGGGTTGGCAGGGGGATGGCACTGTGGTGTATAGCAAGTTAAGCCTCCACCTTCTGTATGAATGCCGGTTCAAGTCCTGGCTGCTTCACTTCCAATCCAGCTCCCTGCTGATGTGCCTGGGAATGCAGCAGAAAATGGCCCAAGTACTAGGTCTCTTACACCCACGTGGAAGACCCAGAAGAAGCCCCTGGCTCTTGGCTTTGGCCTGGCCTACCCCAGCCATTGTGGCCATTTGGGAAGTGAGCCAGAGGACAGACGGAAGATCGATCTCTCTTTCTACCCCCCCCCCCCCGTAACTCTGCTTTTATTTATTTATTTTTTAAGATTTATTTATTTGAAAGAGTTACAGAGAGAGAGGTCTTTCATCTGCTGGTTCACTCCACAGATGGCCACAACAGCTGGAGCTGTGCCGATCCGAAACCAGGAGCCAGGAGCTTCTTCCAGGTCTCCCAGGTGGGTGCAGGGACCCAAGCACTTGGGCCATCTTCTACTGCTTTCCCAGGCCACAGCAGAGAGCTGGATTGGTAGAGGAGCAGCCGAGACTAGAACTGGTGCCCATATTGGATGCTGGCACTTCAGGCCTGTGCTTTAACCCGCTATGCCACAGCGCCGACACCAAAACTCTGCCTTTCAAATAAAATAAAAAACAAATCATGGGCCGACGCCGTGGCTCACTAGGCTAATCCTCCGCCTGCGGCGCCGGCACCCCGGGTTCTAGTCCCTGTCGGGGCTCTGGATTCTGTCCCGGTTTCTCCTCTTCCAGTCCAGCTCTCTGCTGTAGCCCGGGAGTGCAGTGGAGGATGGCCCATGTCCTTGGGCCCTGTACCCGCATGGGAGACCAGGAGAAGCACCTGGCTCCTGGCTTCAGATCAGCACGGTGCACCGGACGCAACATGCCAGACACAGCAGCCATTGGAGGGTGAACCAACAGAAAAGGAAGAACTTTCTCTCTCTCTCACTGTCCACTCTGCCTGTCCAAAAAAAAAAAATCTTTAAAAAAATAAAATCTGATGGGGTTCAACCCATTGATCAATCTCAGCATCCCAAAGATTGAGGACCTTATGTGTTACCATCAGAAATACTCGGGGCTGGTGCTGTGGCGCAATGGGTTAACACCCTGACCTGAAGCACCGGCATCCCAAATGGACGTGGTTCGAGGCCCGTCTGCTTCACTTCTGATCCAGCTCTCTGCTGTGGCCTGGGAAAGCAGTGGAGGACGGCCCAAGTCCTTGGGCCCCTGCGCCCATGTGGGAGACCCGGAAGGGGCTCCTGGCTTCAGGTCGATGCAGCTCCAGCCATTGCAGCTGACTGGGGAGTGAACCAGCGGATGGAAGACCTCTCTCTCTGCCTCTCCTCTCCTCTGTGTGGCTCTGACTTTCAAATAAATAAATAAATCTTTAAAAAAATTAATATCTTAAATTCAAGGGCCAGCGTTCTGATGCAGTGAGTTGTGGTGCTGTGGGTTTATCTGCCACTTCTGCCATTTGTAACCCATATCAGAGTGCCAGTTTGAGTCTCAGCTACTCTGCCTTTTTTTTTTTTTTTTTTTAAGATTTATTTATTTATTTGAAAGTCAGAGCTACACCAAGAGAAGGAGATGCAGAGAAAGAGAGGTCTTCATTGGCTGGTTCACTCCCCAGTTGACTGCAACAGCCGGAGCTGCGCCAATCAGGAGCCAGGACCTTCTTCTGGGTCTCCCTTGTGGCTGCAGGGAGCCCAAGACCTGGGCCATCTTCTACTGCTTTCACAGGCCATAGCAGAGAGCTGGATCAGAGGTGGAGCTGCCAGGACTCGAACCCTTGCCCATATAGGATGCCAACACTGCCAGCGGGAGCTTTACCTGCTACACCACAGTGCCGGCCCCTACTCTGCTTCTGATCCAGCTTCCTGCTAATACACCTGTAAAAGCAACAGATAATGGACCATATACTTGGGTCCCTGCCATGTAAGTGAGAGACCAGGATGGAGTTCCTGGTTCCTAGTTTCAGCATGGCCCAAACCTAGTTGTTGTAGCCATTTGTGAGTGAACCAGAGGATGGAAGACCTCCCTTCCTCCTATTCCCTCTCCCTCTTTATCTCTGTATTGCCTTTCAAACAAATTTTTTTAAAAAATAAATTTGTTAAGGGGCCAGCATGATAGTGTAGCAGGTAAAGCCTCTAACTGCAATGCCAGCATCCTGTATGGGTACCAGTTTAAGTCCTGGCTGCTCCACTTCTGATCCAGCTCCCTGCTGATGGCCTGGGAAATGCAGCGAAGGATGGTCCACTTGCTTGGGTCCCTGTCATCTATCTGGGAGACCCAGATGAAGCTTCTGTTCCTGTCTTTAACCTAGTCTAGCCCTAGTCATTGTAGCCATCTTGGGAATGAACCAGCACATGGAAGATCTCTGTCTCTCTCTAACTGACTTCCAAGTAAATACATAAATCTTAATAAATAAATGTAAGTAAATTCATTAATATTACTTGGGGAAATTGATATCCTTTTATAGAAATACTGTCAATTAGAAATAGCCTGAAGCCAGTGCCTGTAGTGCCGGC